AGTGGTTTAGAACCTATGGGGGATATAAAGTGTATAAAGTCAATGACAAGGAAAAAGATGATAAAAGTTGGACAGGGCGCAGCCTTTGAAATGAGACAGATTTTATATATGTAATATATATAAATTGTAACGGCCTCTTTGACGATCTCTGATTGGGAAAAAAATATATGGTCCATGCAACAATTTTTTCCCCTCACAAAGTAAGAGAAATATCTTTTAAATGAATCCATAACATTTACCCTGTCAAAGAATTTTTAAAAAACATTTCAGATCTGACATTAGGCCTAAATTTTATAATTTTCTAACTTCCTTCATTTCTCCCCATTACATCCCCCATACATTTTCGTCTATTTTCTTTAGTTGCTGTTGGTTCTGTTTCTGTTTTGAGCTAGTGTTTAATAGACCAGTTGTTAAAGTTTCTTATTACTGTTATTATTTCTATTGCTGTAATTCTTAATAATTATTGGTAGGCCTATATGTTCTAATTTTGTTGTACTATACTGTAAACTGAAACCTCAAATAAAGCTTGGCTTTATTTATAAGCTATATATATACTGTTTACACTGTTAAATATACTATATAGTATATTAATGAACAAAAAGAACAAAAAAATGTTTGGACTCTTTCTACAATATTAACATCGACAGCATTAACTCACACATACTTGTTTCACTTGTTTCTAATGTAAATTTTTTTTAAATAAAATATCGTGTGCCTTTATTTTGAAACAAAGTCGTCACGCCCGGATCTTTTTTTTTTTTTTTTACGCGTGTCACTCAGAAACATCTCGGTTACGTATGTAACCTTGGTTCCCTGAATAGGGAACGAGATAATGCGATGACGTCATCGTTATGGGAACACCTCCGGTGTGACGAATGTCTGAAGCCCTTATACCATCACACCAATTTATTGGCCAATAGCGCTTAGCACCACCCCGAGCATATGTCACGTATGCTCATATATGCGTGCTGCGTGCTATTTCATCAGATTTTACACTATGACGAAGGAAGCGCTATCGAAGGTACGGAACAGCCAGCATCGCAACATCTCGTTCCCTATTCAGGGAACCAAGGTTACATACGTAACTGAGATGTTTTTGTCCCTTTTTTTCTTGACAAGAAATGCATTTATTAAGGCGCGGAACCACTGTATCTCTTTATGACCACATCAAACGGGAGTCCAGACAAGTAGAACTTGATGAAAGTGCTAGGAAAGGACTACCCTGCCACAGCACAGACATCTCCCATCAAAGGCCCTTTAAAGAGAGCCTGAGAAGAAGCCATTGCTCTCGTAGAATGAGCACGCACCTCTAGAGGCTAAGTCACACCACGTGCCTCATAGGCTAGAGATATAGCTTAAGGTTTCAAAGTTATCTGACAGACTTAAACGGCTCAAATGGATGGCCTGCCAGGCCTTCCAACCGAAAAATAGGTCCCAAAAAGGAATCTGTGCTGGGAGGAAAGGCCTAAGCCGTCTTGTACCTGCATGAAACGGGAAACCAGAAGGTGACATCCCGCTGAAACACCTCTATGGGTAATGCTCAGCAGATATGGCAGCCACATAAACCTGTGGCAGGTCCCTACAGGGGAATAGACTGGGTCCAGATTGTGTCCAAGGGCATACAGCGTCTCGTGGAGGGAGCCCTAGAATTAAGAATATTGTTGGTAATCTCTGCCAAGAGACCGGAACACATTACAACTCCGCTCAGGGGTCACACCCATTAGTTCCAAAAATCCTGATGGGGATGTCCAAATCATGCCCTGAGCCTGAGTCAGCAGGTCGTGTCTGAGGGGAACCTCCCAAGGGGGTCGGCTAACAGACTGACCAATTCTGAGAACCACGTACGAGTGGGCAAAACGGCACCACCAACAACAGATGTTCACTCTGGCCAACCTTACTCTGAACAGAATCGTTTGGGAGCAAACGGGTCAACGGAAAGGCAAAGACTGGTCCTGGGCCATTCTTGGGCTAGAGCGTCCACACCCAGAGGCGACAGAGGAGACAAGGAAACCAGAGCAGGCAATGCTTATGCAAACCTGAGGAACTTCCTGTGTCTCTTGACGATCTGGATGCAGAACTACGCATCCTTAGATCGATGGTCACAAACCAATCTCCAGTTCAGATAGAGACAGGATGAACTTCTGCGTCAGCATCTTGAAATCGCTTACTCCAAGCACAAGGTTAGGTGATGCAAATCCAATCAACCCATAGAAGCTGGATGGTGTAACTATACGACAGCCTGATCCTCCCTAATGAGGCCCCGAGACACCTGAGTTGCGGGAAAAACCTCTACTGCTTGGTAGCATGAAGCACCCAACATCTCTAGTGCACAATAATATATGCTGCAGTCACATAATGCAGCCAGTCATGTGAAGTGAGTGTTGGTATCAAAAGCGCCGCATCAATCCCATGAAGTAGGCTGACCATGGTGAGCATTATTAGCTTGCCATAAGAGATACTCTTACACGTGAACTCATCAAATGTCAGCTGTGGAGTCCGTGCTTAAAAACAGTCACATGAACAAGAGTTGGAAGTGTAAGCGCCAAATCAATGTGCGTGCCTTAATTAATGCAGTGCAGGAGTAGAAACTGGAAAAACCCCACTTAATGTTTCAGCTCAACGCAGCAGCAGAGCTGAAAGAAATATATTACTCGGACAGACCAACGCTCGGTAGTATGACGCGCCAAGACCATAGTGCACGACAAAATATCTGCTGCAGGACTCCTCAGAGTCTGCGTCTAAAAACAGTACACGAACAAGAGTTGGAAGATTTTTCCTCTTCTGCTGTTGAGGTAATGCAAGGAATGTTGTGATTTGTTGTCAAGGCAGCCTATCAGAATTTAGCAGCCTCGTCTCTGATTGGCTGGAATGATGGCACATTGTAACGCTGGGTTGTGTTGAGCAAGGGAGCCGTTGGCATTTAGAGAGCACTGAGGGCGGGTATCAATGGAGCAAGCTAGTGAAACTTTGCACACGCAAAAGAGAAGGTCTGCACAAATCCAAAAGCTTATTTTAAATGCAAAATTGATTTTCGTGCGCTCAAAATACTTTCTTCTTTGCGAGACAAATATTTTCTCCACAAAACTCAGTTCGCGTGCGTGCAAAATGCACTTTTGTGCGCTCAAAATATGATCTTTTGCCCGCAGAATTGTGGCAGAGATGTAATCCCATATTAGTCGGGCAAACTAATGCTTGGTAGCTCGAAGCGCCAAAAACCATAGTGCACGACTTAACGTCCTAAAAATCAGTGCCTCTCATGTTGTTTAATAAACTTGAGAAACACTTGATCCAGGGAGGGAGTAGAGCAACAGGGATTTTATATCAGTGAACTCGCCCCTCAACCCATAGCTTATATCTACAGCTTGTGTCGCCTTGAGCTCGAGAGCTCGAGGCTGCTGTAGAGTATACATCATCTAATCCGCAGCCGAAAGAATCGATTACGAGCTTCCGGAGCATGAATCAGATTTGACTAACCACCTGACTCACAAGGCGCTCTTCTGATGAACGCACGCGGTGCAGGGAAGAGAGCCAGAGAGAAGGGGATTAATTCCGTTCTCTCACTCTCTGTACACTCGGGCTCATCGCTGTCACCCCAAGCGTCGAGCTCATGCGGCTCCTCGGCAACCGCAGACCTGGAACAGCGGAGGTTGAACGAACATCTCTCCTTCCTCAGAAAGAGAGCAGCCCAGAGCGCAACTTACTCACAAACACAGATATCACGGATACAACAATAGATAAAGGCCGCAAAGCGGTCTTCCTACCTGTTTCCTCGTGAGTCTGTGTAACATGCATCCATACATACCAGAAAACTCATTGTGTCAGCCTTAGAGGAGTAAACTGCTCTATATAAATAGATGGCTTAGAACACAATCATCTCTTTCCAATGGGCAACAGATAATTAGCTTCCTGAAGGAATTAAAATCTGATGAAATAGCACGCAGCACGCATATATGAGCATAGGTGACGTATGTTCGGGGCGGTGCTAAGCGCTATTGGCCAATAAATTTGCGTGATGGTATAAGGGCTTCAGACATTCGTCACACCGGAGGTGTTCCCATAGCGATGACGTCATCGCAGCATCGAAGTGAACCTATGAGAGGGAACCTAGCGCGTTGCGAAGCAGCAGCAGCAGCACTGAAGATGATGGGAACAGTGTTGCTAGATAAAGGCCGCAAAGCGGTCTTCCTACCTGTTTCCTCGTGAGTCTGTGTAACATGCATCCATACATACCAGAAAACTCATTGTGTCAGCCTTAGAGGAGTAAACTGCTCTATATAAATAGATGGCTTAGAACACAATCATCTCTTTCCAATGGGCAACAGATAATTAGCTTCCTGAAGGAATTAAAATCTGATGAAATAGCACGCAGCACGCATATATGAGCATAGGTGACGTATGTTCGGGGCGGTGCTAAGCGCTATTGGCCAATAAATTTGCGTGATGGTATAAGGGCTTCAGACATTCGTCACACCGGAGGTGTTCCCATAGCGATGACGTCAT